GCAAACGTATAGAATCGTGAGAATTTTTGCAACATGGAATCTATTTTATTGTATTTTGACAGTCGACTGCGTCGCCCATAATGAAATAGTTTTTGCACGGCCGTTTCCGCGAGAGACGAAGGACACGTCACAGACAAAAGGAAGGCAGTTGTCTCCTTTTCCTCTTAGGTGTACCATATCGGTTGCAATTGAAGATGGAGAAATAAGGTATCGGGACAGAGTCGATAAAGAGAAGGGAAAGCAATATGCTGACATCAGAAGGAAAGCAAAACCCAGTGAAATTCAAGTTGGTGATCAGGTGTTGCCGGTTAGAAAGAAAAACAAACTCAGTACTGATTTTTCACCAAAGCAGTTTGCGGTAGTAGGTAAAGGAACAGATGTTCGATTGCAGTCATCTTCCAGTGGAAAACAATTCAGAAGAAGCGCAGCGCATCTTAAAGTCATTCCAAGTGATCTTGTTTTGCATTCTGGGGCAGATGAAAATTCAGCCCCATCGTATGAAACAACTGTGCCAATTAAGGAGAAAGAAAATCATCGTTAAAATGTGAGTGCTGATGAGCTATGAGAGCTAGAACAGAATTGAGATTGTTAAAATACTATGTAACTTATTGATAAGGATATTTATGCGATTCTATTTAAAGAAAGGGTGGAGCCTAGGGTTCTTGGTGAAATACATTCATACCTCAAAACATTAATCTTGTGATAGTCTTGAACTCGCGATACCTGCGAATACGGATCCTTGGTTGGTGGTACAGTACTTGTTCGCTAACTGCACAGAGAAAAAAATACCCTAAATTTAAGTTCTATTTACTTAATTTTCGGTTGTTGTTGTCAAAAACGGAACGAGACATTCGATTTTCTCATGACTATCGTTCAATGAGCAATGAGCTAGTATATGAGATATTCTCAAATTTGAGTCAATTGAACTTTAATTTTGGGTAGAAAATAAACACGAGTAAGAAATTATTTTTGACGTAGTCAAATGTAAACTACTATAAGCGGTTTACTGAAAATAAGCTTATTGAACGGAACATGGGAGATGAGTGAATATAACTTAATTTTGGGTAATTTTTCGTTTCCGTGTGGACTAAAGCACCACCCAGCTAGCGAATTCTAAAGAGCCTGAATTTATTGGAATGACTTTTCCTATGACTTTGACAGACAATCGATTGTTCCAATTTTGACATGTCGCCTCTTTATAAATTTAGGCTCTTTAGCGAATTCCACTCGCTAACTGGGCTGGCTTGTCAAACTTCAAACATCACTGAGGGAACTTCAATGGATTGTTCGAACGGTGTTAAAAAATAATATGCATTTAACTGAAACAGTGTAATTTTTGTTATATTTACAGCATTCAATTTCGCGAGTTTAGATAGGCTTAACGCTTTCACGTCCTGATTTCAGTGTGAAATGAATATAATTTCAAATTTATTTATATTAACACTAAATATTCCATTAGAATGCCCCGCACCAATTTTGACAACGAAATGTAAAACTAATGTGACGTCTATTTTTGACGTAAAACTGCTTTTTGACTGGGCTACAACCTATAGTCGCTATATTCATAATCTGGCGTATAAAGGGTGTCCACGATGAAATTGCCACTCTATGAAATTGCTCTAACTTTTTAACCGTTGGGTAGAATTTAATGAAAATTTGGGTGGATTTAGTTCATAGTGCATTATTTACATCCTGCAAGTTTTAAAGTCCTGTGATCAAAACTCGCGGAAATGGAGTCGAAAGAACAGCTCGTGTGTGATAAAATCTTGCGCATTCATCACGAGAACATGGATCTCTCGCATCGTTCCATCGCTAAAACGTTGGGAATCGCGAATTCCACGGTGTCGCGAGTGATTAAGCGGTTCGAGGAACGGTTGACCACCGATCGGAAGCCCAGAAGTGAAGGAAAAAGTATTCCGTACAACACCAAAAATCACAACCGCGTAGTTGGGGCCTTCAACCGAAATCCGAACGCCTCCGTTAGAGATGTGGCTAAGAAGCTGCACCTAAGCCGAAGTTTTGTCCAGAAGGCCAAAACTAAGGCTGGGCTTCGAACGTTCAAGGTACAAAAGGCCCCTAATCGCGACGAGAAGCAGAACAAGTCCGCCAAAACCCGTGCCAGGAAGTTGTACCTCAACATGCTGACGAAAGTTGAATGCTGCATCATGGACGACGAAACATATGTGAAGGCTGACTTCAAACAGATCCCGGCAACCTGTTTTTCACGGCCAAGGATAAGTTCAGCGTTCCGGAGCATGTCCGCACTCAGAAGATGTCCAAATTTGCGAAGAAATTCCTGGTTTGGCAAGCCATCTGCACGTGCGGGAAGCGGAGTGCACCTTTCGTGACCCAGGACACGATGAACGGACAGGTGTACATAAAAGAGTGCCTCCAGAAGCGGCTGCTTCCTCTCCTGAAGGCCCACAACGTCCCAACAATCTTCTGGCCGGATTTGGCCTCGTGCCACTACTCCAAGGACGTGCTGAAGTGGTATGCGGACAATAAGGTCAATTTCGTGTCGAAAATGTTCAACCCTCCCAACACTCCGGAGCTCCGCCCGATCGAGAAGTACTGGGCGATTATGAAGCAGCACCTTCTTAAACGACCTAAGGTAGTGAAGACAGTCGAGGAACTGAAGAAAGTATGGGTTTACATGCAAAAAACGGTTGATTCACAGGTTGTGCAGAATCTTATGGCCGGGGTTAAGGCCAAGGTGCGGGCATTTGCGTATGGACTGTAAATAAAATACGAGTAAAATGGTAAAATGAAGTTTAATAGTTATTTCTCAATCCCTGAAAATTTGATGGCAATCGGATGAAAACTCGAATTTTGCGAATCAATTTTGTGTGTGGCAATTTCATCGTGGACACCCTTTAGAATCTTGGGAACCAATTGAGCTGTCAAATAGCGGAACCAACAACAGATCGAAATTCTATCCGCCAGACTATGAATATAGCGACTATACTACAACCCAGTTAACGAACGCCCAGTTAAAAAGCAGCCCAGTTAAAGAACGCACAGTTAGCGAACAAGTACTGTAGGGTAGAGCGCTACTTCGTCGTAATCGACCATTTCCGTTCTATCGATCAGAAGAGATCTATAATATCAATGATTTCACCGTGCAGAAATAAATAATAGGTTTGTTCCGATGCGTTAGTTCATTAGCTACAACATAAACCCTGTTAGAGCACATTCTATGAATATTTACGCTCATTGTTCTCAAAACAAAAGAAGCGCTCCTAGCGAATCCCCTTTTTCTACGTTTATCCGTAGGACGAAGAAAATCTAATGGCGTTTCAATGCATTAGGACGGAATTGAAACTCGTAGAACGAATTTAGAATCAAGAAGCAGTATTAGATTTTAAACAATGTCTCAACCATTTGTGACTCTTTATCAAATCCAACGGTACGTATGGAATGGTGAATAAATTTAGAAGTCATCTTTGACAGAAATATTCCAATTTTTGTTTAAATTCGTTCAGAAAAGAGAGGCAAAGCGCGGGTTGTGCTTAGTAGGACGGAAATTAGATCAAAAACCCTACTTGGATTTGAAAAGGAGAGGAGGAGGCGAAGAGAGGTGAAGGTGGGGATTTTTAGAATAACAGACTGCGAATAAAGGACGTTTAAATTATCTGGGAAATAAAGAATGAAGTTAACTAGGACTTAACCCTATACATTGGTATTAGCGTCGAAAGCTCTCAATTCATAACTGTGGAAGTGCATTTAAAACACTAAATTGAGAACACGCAATAAGCTAATATGCAACAAGCGAACTGCGAAGAAGATTGGAATATAGTCTATGTAAAACAGACTAGAAAGACTAGAAAATAAAATAGATTTAGATAGATTTGGTCATCACATAAGGGGTCTCAGATAGTACTAATAGAGGGCCTAAGTCAGTTAAAGCACGGTATTATCAAGCAAGAGGCGTTTGGATCGAGTCCCGGTCCGGCCAGGTTGAACATTTTCTCAACGTTCCGGGCATAAAGTATCATTGAGCTTGTCGCAGAGTATACAAATGCATGCATTGGTTGACATAAAAAGTTCTCAAAAAATAACTGTGGAAGTGCTTATTAAAGAACACTAAGTTGAGATAAGGCAAAAAGAAGAAGTCACAACCGGAGACGAGCCAGCCAACGGCTGAAAGTCTCCTTAATAAAGATATAAAAAAAAGAAGTCACAAGATCACATAATCTACCCACAGATAAATTTTTATTAAGTTCTGAGATCCTTGGTTTCAACTCTATCCATCCGAAAATTTTAAATCGGTCTCAAAAACTTCTTACATTATGTTTTAACTGTGAAATTAACGCCCTTTGTTTGTTTTTTCTCGAGTCATTTTAATTCAATCTATTTTTTGTGAAAATTCCACATATGACAAATGAATGAGAAATTTTTAGAGAAATATTACACACGAAAAGATTCATTTATCAAGAATTGATAAGTCATTCAGCTATGCAAACAAACAAAAACTGGGGAATACCGTGCCGCACTGTCTTTCCCATACCTGCTCAAAAACAAATAAAAAATCATGTATGCCTAACCGGTTTGTCCCTATTAATGCTCCTTTTTCCTATCTTGCTTTCGGTTTCTTTAAATGTAATTGCATTGCAATATTTCAAACGCTTCAGTATACACGCTTCTGTGCATCCGCTCGTTAGAGTTACTAGGATTTTCAATCGTCGGTGTTACGCAACTATATGGGACCTATGAAAGTTCATTGTCCACTTTTCACTACTTGTTAACTTTTACAACATACATGTTACAATAACTCAAAATTGCCTGGATATAATTTACAACCCGGCCCGGTGAGAAGACATCCCACAAACCAGTTTTTCAGTTCAAATTCACCCAAGCATGCACTTCCGACCTCTCCCAACGTTGTTTTTTTTTTAGGCATCCGTCTTCAGTTGTGGCACAAAATTAAAACAACATATCGCTACAATCAACACTCTTCACATGTATTATGGAATGCACATGAAAATCATCGTCGCGTTTACCTGCTGTTGCTTCGTACTTCTCTCCTTCTTCAGTTAATAATTAGGTTTGTAGATATCCAGTTTTCCTTCTTCGCGTTTATGTGGTAAATTCTTCTATATGATTGTGCAGATTTTTCACTTCACACCACTTTTTCGTCTTTATTACAGTTTGTAACCGACTGCTTCGGAACTAAATATTATATCATACACACTTAATTATATGGTAGACACAAGGTGAGTTGCAGCACTCAAGTATGTGAATGCTATCGGGTATGATATGCGCTTTGTCAAATTGGCAAGATATTTTAAATTCCTTTTCTTTTTTATTCAAAGGTATGATCACTTCCACTATCAGTACACTTTACTGCTGCGCGATAATGTTAGACTATCTCACGATGTTTCCGGCTCAACGTTCGACTATCGACTGACATGGCGGACCGCTGGGCAGCGAAAATTTAACATTTTTGCACAATCAAAATTACATTGCGGGTACCCCTGGTATAAACCCGTCTTTCTTGACGTCTGCCGACCGTACTGCGAACCGTAATAAGCCCCTTGTGTCCGCGACGCTGTTGGTGTGCTCATGATCTGCAGTGTAAATTCAGTTAAGGAGCTTCTTGTATTGCCATTAGGTATAGTCGCCAACCGCGCACTTGCTCGCTCACCGTTGCGTTGTTGGTTGGGTTGGGTGGCTTATCAGCGTATTATGGTCTCAGCGGCGCAACATCAACATCAGAAGCACGGCGGATCTCGACACAACGGAAAGCACGCAAACTTGCCTTGGAAAGGAAGCTCTCCGTTGATGGTCGGTCGGTAGTTTTGGTGTGATTCAGCGCAAACGCGCGCGACCTCAACTTTGTGCTCTCTCTCTCTCTCGCTATCCCTACCCGCCGCACTAACACCGGTATTTTGCCGCGTAATGTGCAATACATTGCATTGGTCTGGTCACCACAGTAGATTATACCTTAATTGTTCCGCGTGTTTTCCTGAGTCGTGTACTACAAATCCAGTGAACTTGCGTTCATGTAAAGGAACGTCCATTAGGGATTGTATTGATTGTTAGGTCGTCAATGAACTGATCAAATGGCTTACATTCTCTAGAACCATGAATCGGATAAATATTTCCAGGTTTTGCGCTCTTTAATAATGAGACTCCTAAGTGAACAACATTGGTGCTCTTTTCAGTAGATATACGAATGATCCTCTTTTTTTTCAGAAGATTACAGTTTACAAACCTAGCAGTCCTTTCGATCTGAATTTTATTATTCGTCATAAGAAACACTAATACCGTTCAGTGTAGTTATAAATACCACGCAAGCACCATATGTTGAACAGTGCCTAATATTGGACAGTGTGATGTTTATTAAATAACTGTATTTTTTTGTGGGCTTATCTATATTACCCTTAGCGTTTTCTAGCAGATAATCGTATTTGTACTCGATGATTCAAAGAATAAATCGGACAGACATTGTTAAATTAATTAGACACTGTTCAACTTACATGTGTATGGTTGTTGGACGGTAGAAGGCAAAAATTCTTATATTGTTGTTATTCCATAAATTACGGGAATTTTTGTGGGGAGCCCCATGCGTCAATTCTTAATCTTAATTCGTGTTATAATTTAAACCCATACCTAACAATTCTCATCTGTAAGCATACAGTGGACAGCTGTGAAGGGGCGACAAGTGACGAAAACAATTATTTGCATAATGCCAAGGTACGATTATTGTGATAGGGAGAATGTTGATAAAGAGGATTAGACACTTTTCAGATGGTTGCGAGCGTGCAGAAAGTTGACTGTGATAAGGAAATGTATAGGCATACAACAACAGTAGTGGTCTTTATTGATTCATGCTTCTACTTAAGGTGAACCATTATTGTTTAGGGCTTAATTTCGTGTGGGATGTCCATTAACTACGTACACAGTTTTTGATAGATTTCAGGTCCCCATTACCCTGCATAGACATTTGTTAATACACAATTTAAAATATGGACCTTTTAAACTGTCTACGTGGTTACCCCTGGCTTGATTCGAACGATGAAGAGCAAAAATGGCTACTGAAAAGGAGTAATTGGCCCAATAGTCATCCCAAGTAACATTGCAAGTTTCATCGAGGTTTTAAAGTATTATAGAAGTGTAAATCATGGTCTACAGAACCCTCATAAATCCAAAAGTGTTACCTGGAATCGCTTAACAATCATAGGATGCAGAATAAGAGCTTATTGAGGTAAAAATATAGTTCTTCAGCTAAAAAATGGCGTATTGTGTGTGGGTATCATCCTCTACCCCTCACCCAGCTGGGAGCGTTGGACAAATAGAACAGCGCATAATTTAATCAAATCTAATGCTCCATAATGGTGCTCTTTATGTTGTGAAGAACAGAACTTTGCAAAGGATAACTGCTTCAGGATAAAACGAGCGTCATCTGTCACCAAGAAGAATTCAAGTCCCCTCAAATACATTTCCAGTATTTCAGTCGCCCACACCGTTGCGAGCAAAATAGGCTGGTTATACTTATGCTAGTTTACTAGCTCATCAGCTCAACCAACTAGCACGAATTTCAGTTGCTTTTGAATTTCATGCTGGTATACGCTGATGCCATGTTTACATTACGCAGGCTACTTTTTTGAACAGTGCTTTCTCAACGGGAAGGTTAACGTTGCCAGGTTCGGTATGTATGGTATCGGTATATCAAGATACACGGCGAATGAGAACGTCCCTAATTTGAGTTTAGTTCACTCATAATCGCCAAAAGTGCAGGAACTCAGCGATGAGTAAATTTGTCTCATGGTTTCCTGTGGAAAACCTAAAAAATCTGCCGGAAAATGAGGAAATTGACGAAAATTTTATTCAGTCTCGTAGTGCCAATAGACTGACTGAGTGAATCCAATCTTTACTTTTCTCAAATATGGAAATTTTTCCCTGCAAAATCCTGGAAAACCTGGGAAAACATGAGGCAAATTTACTCATCGCTGAGTTCCTGCACTTTATGTGATTTATGAGTTGACTAAACTCAAATTTGGGTCGTTCTCATTCGCCCTGTAGTTAACAAACTCCAATAGAAGCGTAAATAGATATGCAATAAGAGCTTCCCAACTAACAATTTTCGCAATTTAAACGCTTTACCCATTTCATTTATACAGCCTCAAGCTGTATTCAAATGTTATACGATATTAGGAAACCTTTACTCAACCTCTATACAAGCAAATCTGGCGAACTTAGTCAGCTACTTATGACTGTTGTGACGGTTGGGACAAGCTCTTATATTGCATATCTATTTACGCTTCTATTCAGCTGTTATTATGCTGTTTAGCTGTGTGTGAACTTGAAAGTCGCTTACTCAACCTTTACCCTATTATCCAATAATCTCTACATAGCTTTCTCTTGACGCCAGGTTAAATATTGTTTACGTTTTTTTTTTGTTGTTGGAGGAATTTATCATGTTTATTTTACTGCGAATCAAATTAATCGAAATTAGTTATAAGCACACCACCAAATTATTTACGCTGTACCGGAACCTGGAATCGAACTCAAGGCGACTGTATTGGCGAACCTTGATCTACCAACTTCGCTACGCCAACACTTTGAACTGACGTAAATAAATTTACATGCCCTTCTACAACAAGATTGCTGAGTAGAGGCTTTATAATAGTACACATGAATCACTTTTCTCGACTAGTTAATTCAGCTTTGTAAAGGAGCAGAGTAAAAGCTGTAAAACTACACAAATCTAAAAATAGACCTAGTTGACTGTAAAATAACTTTCAAAGTAGCGCTAACACAGTTTACTAGTTGAGTACAGGTTGTTCAGTTGTTGAAAAAGCATTTTTGATGTTTATGTTATTCAGCAATAGTGATTGGTTATGTACACAGCAAAAAATAAATTTTAATATTACATCCAAGAGGATGCACTTCAATCATGTCGAAAATCTCATGTAATTTTTATGGCCACACAAATAAACAAATGCAGTAAAAGCAACGTAATGTCAGCACATGCACTGTATTAATGATAATTTTCCCTTTTTTGGCAAGTAATATTACACCATATTTTCGACACGATTGAAGTGCATCCACTTTGATGTGATATTAAAATTAATTTTTTGCTGTGTAGAAGCCATCAAATGAGTAATATATTCTCTTTATTAGCTTTGTTTTGAAGCTTAAAGTTAAAATTATAAAGCCGAAAATATTAGTTGGGTTGTCACACTCTAAGGGGGAGGGGGGTCTAAGATTTTGTGACAAGTAATGCATTAGGTATAGGAAAAACTTCACGATAGGGGGTATTTTTTTGCTCGATTTAGCGTGACATAATTAATGCATGGGCCTTAAGTAGCTGACTAAGTTCGCCAGATTTGCTTGTATAGAGGTTGAGTAAAGGTTTCCTCATCTCGTATAACATTTGAATACAGCTGGAGGCTGTATAAATGAAATGTGTAAAGCGTTTAAATTGCGAAAATTGTTAGTTGGGTACAGACTTCCTCTGTCCTGTGTGGCTCCCGAAACTCCCTAATGGCTTCTACCTACTATGATGGACTTATTTTGTTTTCAGACAGCAATCCCATAAACGTGACTTGCACAGAAAAAAAAAGTTGTTGAATATTACATTCAAACTGCTGCAACCATCAATCCATCGGTTGTGTAATATAACGTTGTACGATGTACATCGATTTTGCGAACAAAGTTACATCCATTGATGTAATATTGTATCTGCTTTTTGTTATTACATCATTATTTCATACATCATCTTGAATTACATTGATTACATATTACATTTTTTTGCCGTTGTGCAAAAGCACATTTTCTTTTGTTGATGGGGATTCCGCTTGACTAAAGGTGATCCAACACAGTTTGCAGAATGTTGCTTTTAGAAAACACTAGAAAGTCATCGATAAATGGCTTCACACTCGGGATACCACACAAAGTCCTCTCGATGATGCTCTGAAAAATTTCGGACGCACAGTTGAGTCCGAACATGAATCGCTTATACCGATAATAGGGTAGGTGTACCAGTTATGGCCATACGTTCCTATTATGGTGTGTTCCAGTTATGGTCTATGGAATTCCCATAGGCCATAATTGGAACACATCATAAGAGGAACGTATAGCCGTAACTGGTACATCTACTCTAGCAATCTTTTAAATTTGTCGAACCTTTTAACGGAATCCCTTTATGAAGTGCTTTGAGTGTGTTGGTTTATTTCCTTTTAATTCCGTTATAGTTGCTTATCTTTTGACAGATACGCGTATTTCGTCTACTACTTGCAGACTTCATCAGTGCCAAGTAGTCAACACCACTGAAGAACCCATCTTTTATCTACGAGTTATATACACGGTAACAGCAAAATACCCAATAATGACTACAAAGTGAGCATTTTCGAGGGAGACTGGGACTACCCATTAAATGAGTAAAAATATTACCCATTTATGAGTATTTGTTATTCAAAAATGAATACTTACTACTTGTTTTTGTATTTGTAATTACTCATAAATGGGTAAAATTTTACTCATTTAATGGGTAGTCGCAGTTTCCCTCGAAAATGCTTACTTTGTAGCCATTATTGGGTATTTTGCGGTTACCGTGTACAGTTAGCAATAGCAATAGTTAGATAATAGCAGTTATGTGCAGCAAAAGTTATGATGTTTCGGGATTGTTCTTAGAGGTACCTGATGAAAAGCCTATCAAAGGTCGGCAGCGTATTTTTTTCCCTGAATTGTTTTCCGTTGATCTTGTTTTCCGTGCTGAGCACCAAGGCTACCGACGTCAGGGAGGTAGCTACCACACCTGGACCCTCCCTATCGACCCATCAACTCATAACCCGGGGGACCAACGGCTTTGCTTCGTGATCAGAGATGTCATGCCTCAGAACATCCCGGCGGCGCCGACTGGGATTGAACCCAGGCCTGCTGGGGTGAGAGGTAATCACGCTTGCCACTACACCACCGGCGTCGCTAGCAGTGGATAGTGCTACGGCATTATTGCAAGGCTACACGCACAGCCTTACTTCTGGAGGATCTTCAGTCTTCTGTCTGACTACGAGACGGAAGATCCACGACGAGTCATGAAGTGCTGGTTCAACCACATCCTGCTTCATCAACTTCTCAATTTTCTTTTCCGTTTCCTCACGAAGTGGAATGGGTGTATGGCACTGAGTTTGCTGAACAGGTTTCACGTTTTGGTCTATTTCGACCGTTCCTGAAATCTTTCCAATTATATCTTCTTCTGGATGCAGTACCCAAACTGATGAGTCGATGTTCATGATACCCAACTACTTTGCTGTCGTCTGCCTAACAAGCATTGACCTTCACCTTCGATACACATACTTCGGTATTCAGCAAAAAATTGCTTATTCAGCCTTTAATCAGAACAAATTGTTTGTTGGGCGGTTCATTATCTATTTTTTAAATGAGTATTTAGGTGCCGATATGACTGGAATATTGGTGAGAGCATAATGGGTTCTTTTATTTAAATAACACGACATTGTAAATTATGAAATAGAAACACAATTTTCAAAAATTCTATCCTTTTTCTTCTCAAATTATTGATTGATGTACTTTGTTTTGAAAGGTTTCTGTAAAGATATAATTGAAATTAAAATCCATGAAGCTAAAATTTGAAAAAAATCGCAGTTTTTCACAGCAGTGAGCTGTGATTGAAGCATGAGCGGTAATTGGTACACTCATGGTTATGACACATGGCCTAAGGAATGCAAATAGAAAATCGTCAAAAAGAATCTGTCAAGGTTACTTAGGAACGCGAACTCCCACTAAGCGAAAAGTGCATGAAAAGAAGCGATGTTGAGCGAGCTTGACCGCACGTTCGTTGAGCAGGGTGACCACTGATTCGGGAAAACTGGTAATTATACCGGGAATCGAAAACAACCGGGAAATAACCGGAAGTTTAATTGAAACCTTAATATTTTTGTGTACCTATATTATTCGAATTCTTTCAAAACAGATTCTAATTAGGACATCTTAAATATTTCTCTTAAAATACTAAAATTAAATAATTAAATTTAAGAAATTGTCTCTAATGAATCAATCTCTGGATATCTTTGCAAATGCGCCAAGGATTTGCTAAGGACCATTCCAAATACCTTAAGAATTACTTTTACTTTCTGGATTTCCGTCAATAATCTTATGGTTCTATCCAGTATTCCCTAGAAGTTTTCTCGGAATTGTTTGAAGAAAACTTTGGGAATTCCTTCCAGAAAATTATTGAAATCCCCTTTCAATTTATATTCGCATTCTTGATAATTATCACAAGAATTTGTTTAACTGTCACAATACCGAACCTACGAAATACATGTCGATGCCGTGACACAGCACGCCTGTCCCATTTCCGAGAAACGAGCTTGTTCGCAACATCCGCACGCATTTGGCAGGTTTGGTATTATGACTGTTAATTTCTCCCCATAATTTTCTTTAGAATTCGCTTGGAATATTCCTTGGAAATCTCTTGGAATGCCGTATTCTCCCAAAATTTCCTTGGATTTCACCTCAGAATTCTTCTCAAAATGACCTTTAGAGGAGCTATCCTTAATATTCCCTTGGAAATTTCTTCACATTCACTTGGAGTACTACTCATAATTTCTTTGGAAATTTACACAATATGTCTTGCCGAATCCTCCGGGAAACTCTTTGTAATTACCTCAAAATTATTATAAATGCTCTTGAAATTACAGAAGAATGCGTTATCCACTGAGTTCTATCCATCGCTTTTTCTCGGCGGGTTTTCAATCAGTCCAGACCCGCAGAAAATCAGAGCGATTGATTGAAAACCCGACGAGGAAAAACTCAGTGGGTAACGCATTCTTCGGGGGAAAGCTGTATCTTCAAATTAACATGAAATACTGCGAACTATCTTAAGAATTAAATTTCAAAGTGATTTAAGATATTTTCAGTCATAGGCAGTGAATACAAATACATAAAGCAACCAACGATAATTATAAAATGCTTGCTACTACTACAACGATAAACTCTCTCTGTAATATAGCTTGATCGGATTTGTAGAATATAATTATGTATTGCATGCCTCGTTTGTTGCTGAGAAGGACGGCTCCAGGACATAGCTTGATGAAATTCCTATTATAACATCATCTTCGGTGTTACTTCGTGAAGCAGCTTGCCAACAATTTGGTCGTTTCCTTCTACCGACCCGAGTGAGTTATATTGCAAAGGCAGTTTTTCATGAAAAAGGGAAGAAGATTAAACATTTCTGGAAGGGATTGCACAAATGTGGATTAATGTCTGACTACTGCAGAAATGTTACACTTTAAATGGCCTTTGTAACATAATGTATTTAATATAAAGAAAGAGAGGAAGATTAGTAATTTCCATTTAATTCCACTACCTTATTTCCTTATCCTTGATAGATATGTGCAAGCTTCTTCAGTGTCTGCTACTAATACTCGACTGTATTAGTAAAAGACACTGAAGAAGTCGGCTCATTGTTGACGAAATACGCGTATCCGTCAAGGATAAGCAAATAAGGTAGTGAATCCTGATGAATGTGGGCGTCTTAGTGGAATACCTGTATAATTAGAGAGAGAAGGATTGGTATTTTTCATTTAATTCCACTCCTTTATCTGCTTATTCTTGACAGATACGCGTATTTCGTCTACAATGCGCAGACTTCTTCAGTGTCTTGTACTAATACTCGACTGTCAAGGACAACTAAGGTAGTGAAATTAAATGGAAACTACTAATCCTTCTCTCTTTCTTTTTACAGGTATTCCACTAAAACACCCACATTCATCAGGATTCATAGTGTTTTTGTTTAAAGTAGCAAACTGTTTTACGATAATTAATAGCGCAAGAACGCTGGTCACGAATATTTACAAAATGGAGCTTCTTAATTCACAGTCAGCATAATAGAGCAAAATAAAAATCCTCCGCACGGTATTAATTTACATATGATGTTTATTGAAGTCGAATGATTACATATTGAATATATGAAACGGTTTAGCAGTCTGTGTAATTAGTATTTTTGCAAGCATGTCGCAACATGTGGAACTTATAAGGGCTATTAATTAATTAGAAACGGGACATAAAAATTTCTGTTTCTCTTGAAGCAAGCCACCGTTGAAGAGCTTTATCGATTACTTTTGGTCGTCTGACGAAATGATTTTTCGATTTCAAACTGACGCACATCCGCTCTCTGAAGAAAGTCTTGCCTTTCCAAATAACCATCCTTGCCTTTGTTGTGGGTCTGCAGTTCCTCTGCGATTCCTTGGGTGCGCTTGAATTTGTTCCAATCAAGTTTTGTTTTCTCCAGCGTACTCAACTTGTTCTTTTTGCCAATTTGATTTAATACTGCTCCTAGGCCACCCCCGGAAGAACGACCTAGAAAAGGTTTAGAGGGGCCACCATTTCCGTTTGATGTCGCTAGAGCAATCTTTCCAGTCGGCATAGAGGAATCAACCTTACTTTTAGGAATTTCTTCCGTTACTTCAACGGCTTCTCCAGCAAATTCGAAAATTTTGGTGATTGTCGTAGTTTGAGCAGGTTCCGCCACTTTTTTTGGTTCTGATGTAATTGTTGTCTTCGGAGGATATTTTCTAACAGGAGTAGGTGTATTCGACGAGGTGCTCGCAGAGCCGTTGGAACTTCCACTACCGGCTAAAAAATCTGCCCAAAGGGCATCCGTCAGACGCTCCTCATCCTCTTCATCCAGTACTTTCTCCTCTTGGGCAGATTCTTTCTCTTGAAGACTTACAGCCATGCCAAGTTTGGCTTTTTTCTTGTCGGTCTCTTTGGTCTTCCGTTTTCGCTTCTTCCCTCCACCAGTTTTCTCGTCGTCTTCTGCGTCGTGGCCTTCTACATTATCGTCGGAATCTACTTCACTAACAGAATCACCGTCTTCTTTCTCTGGACGAAAATCTTCATCGCTAGCGTCGCTATCACTTGGATAATCTTCAGGGTCCATTTAGAATCTAGTATGAATGAAAAAGAAACAAAAAGCGTTGGTGTTGCAAAATCGAATAATCAATACTGGCAGAATAAATCCTCCTTCTGTTTTAACCTAAACATTCTTCATAGTAGGGCCTTTCACTCAATAAACTTGATTTATCAGGGGAAATAACAGCAAGGCATACTTACTGGAGAATAACGCCAAGTTTGGTGAGTATTTAAATAAAATTATTCCACCTGTTCTGGCGGCTTGCAGACGTTTTGATTGAATTCAATAAAGGATCCTGTCCTGGGATGGATTATGCGTTCTGGGGCCGCAACTGACGGAGTGATGTTTGTTTTTCCAGTAAACAGTTCACCAACACAAAGATATTGAAAAGCTGTCAAAATGGACAATTCTGTCGGAGTACACACTCGTTCAATTTACTCAAAAGTGTGTAATCTCATGTTTACTCAAGTCTTTTGAGAAATCTAGACAAACATTTCAAAGGGTCCTATCTGACATTGAAGCTGATAGGAGAAAAATTAATTTGAATTTTTGCAATAAATTTTTTAATGCCATTCATAATTATGACATACGATAATCTATTGTATTCCCAAATGCGTAGGAAACACGTAGAATTCTACTGAAGCGTTTGTTTTTTTTCTATTTATTCATAATTTTCAGGTTTAATTTATGGTTTTGTTACCGACAAACCGACATGACACTTAATTCTGACTTATGCCCGAAAATCGTAAACGGCTGATTTAAATGTGCGATGAACTGTCAAAACCGTAGGATTTTTTACCTAGATAAAAATAATTTGTCCAGAATAGATCAGACACGAACCAATTCATAACTTTTGCATGCGGGTTCAAGGATTAGGTAAATATTTCCCGCGAACACGGAGCCAGATGTCAGTAGTGTGCTTTGGTTAGAAATTTTATTGTTTTTGCTATGGTCATTCATGTCGGTTTGTCAGTGGTTTTGTTACATAGGACCTTTGTTTTTTTCTAGTATCAGTTAGGATCTGTCAAATTGGTCTGATAGCAAATATTAATGTTACCTAGGACCTTGGTAAGAATACGGTTTAGAGGTCAGATAATTACAACTACAACATTATTTGTAATTGTTGATGGGCTTAAAACTACTATCATACACAGAAAAAAAAAGTTGTTGAATATTACATCCAAACTGCTGCAACCAGGTTAATCTATCGGTTGAGTAATATAACGTTGTACGATGTACATCGATTTTGCGAACAAAATAACATCCATTGATGTAATATTGTATCTGCTTTTTGCTATTACATCATTATTTCATACATCAGCTTGAATAACATTGATCGATATTACATTTTTTTTTCTGTGTAGAGGTAACTCTAAGACCAGAAGGTCCAGAAGAAACATGCTCAACGTTTTGGCTCAGTTCTGGTACTATCTTCGGTTCCAAGCTAATTGATGCACCCCTGGAAACATAGGAAAATCCACGAACCCCTCAATTTAATCTGTCATACTTTCATAGCGAATCAAAACAAACCCAACAAACATCGAAAGTTGAATAAGAGCTTGCTCAGGCAAAAATATGCTTGTTCAACTAAAAAATTGGTTATTCAGCTTTTAAACAGCTCATATTGTTTGTTGGGAACATAGTGTAGTACTAGAATTTTGACTAGAATCATAGAGGTAACTCTAAGACTAGAAGGTCCCGAAATAACGTGCTCAACTTTTTGGCTCAGCTCTGGTACTCTCTTCGGTCCCAAGCTAATCGATTCACCCCTCGAAACATAGGAAAAACTAATAACCCCTCATTTTACCTGTCAAACTTTCATAGCGAATCAAAACAAACATTGCGTAGTACTAGAATTTCGACTAGAATGGGGTACGTTAATCGATTTGCTTGGGACCAATAGGCTAGTCAAGTAGTGAGCCAATTTAAAATCGTTAGTTTCGTATTGATTGTTGCTACTATTCTGCCAATTTATTAAGTAAACAACGTTTATACTACGATCTTGTCGATGATGTAGGGAAAATGTAGGTGTATGGAAAATTTCCATATTTTTTTTAAATATTCGGTATATTTTTATAAACAATTTTTTTTTTATTTTTTTCACTCTGCATGATTTATTTACATTGATTAGCTCAAGCTGTTCATCAATAATTTACATTCATTCATGTTATTCGATCAAATCTATATCGCTGTCCTCCAGGGGATCGAGATCCAAATCAAATTTTGATTTGCATGGAGAGTCACCTCACTCGCTGTGACTTTTGTCACCTCACTCGCGGCGCAGAATTAGGAGGTCTAGCTGAAGATTTCAAAAAGTTTTAAACAAACCTTAAACTCGAATTGTTGTCAAGAAAGTGTTAAACGAACCTTAAACTCGAATTGTTGTCAAGAAAAAGATCTTTTGCAAAAATCCACTTGCAATGAGAGAAAGGTTCGCTCAGAGAGCAAGAGAGTTTCTCAGAGTAACTCTAGATTGCTCTAAATTTTTCACTGTCCCCCCCCCCCCCTCGAGTCAGGACTAGAAATCGGTGGTAGATCTTACATCCCGTAACGTATTATGAAAAGGTGATCTACCCACATTACGGGATGATCTGTTCAGCTTACTGCCCATCACAGTATACTCAACAGATGGTGGTATATACCTAGGCCTAGGCAGGATCCAACTCTACGGCACTTGTGAGATCTGCCACGGAACTCCAGAGAACCAGATACTGCAACCACACTATCCGTTACTTCGACGGATCGTTTGTCCGTCAAGGGATTGGCATTGGCTTCATGGATCCTCATATGTCTGTATTCCATCGACTTTCAGACCAGTATACTATATTCTCGGCAGAAGCGGTCGCTGCTTTTATTGCTGCTACCACGGAGGGGATATTTGCTATATGTAGTGTATTTTCGATTCAGGTCAACGTATTGATGAACGTTTTAAAGTATTTTTATCGAATCAACATGTATTTTGTGTAATACCGTTGTACCCAAGGTGTGTATAGTATTTTTTCCCAAAGGTACGTTACGTTTTTATTTTAATCAGCGTCATTTCGTTTTTATTTTAATCAGCTTAAAAAACTAATACCAACAATCAATACGAAACTAACGATTTTAAATTGGCTCACCACTTTAGTAGCCTATTGGTCCCAAGCAAACGATTAACGTACCCTATTCTAGTCGAAATTCTAGTACTACGCAATGTTTGTTTCGATTCGCTATGAAAGTTTGACAGATAAAATGAGGGGTTATTGGTTTTTCCTATGTTTCGAGGGGTGAATCGATTAGCTTGGGACCGAAGAGAGTGCCAGAGCTGAGCCAAAAAGTTGAGCACGTTATTTCGGGACCTTCTAGTCTTAGAGTTACCTCTATGGTAATATTGTATCTGCTTTTTGCTATTACATCATTATTTCATACATCAGATTGAATTACATTGATCGATGTTACATTTTTTTTGCTGTGAAGCAGGAATAAGCGTGAGTCTTTGACAGCTCAACATCATTCGCGAGAAATCGACGACTAAAGCCATTGTTTACAAATGCAATTACGCCCATTTGAAATGTTGGCACTGATTTGTTGGTTAACTACACCACAAAAACGAAAACGACATTAATTTATTTTCGAAGTGTCAAATTTAAGGTTCAATTTACTTTGATGCTTTTGGGAAAATTTCAAAAGCAGTTTTTTTCCGACGAATTATTTCAGATTGCAAAAAGCTCGCACTATTCGATTCCTTTTGATATTTTACACAAAATGACGCGAGCTTTTTGCAATCTAAAATAATGCGTCGAAAATAACTGCTTTTGAACTGAGTGGTGTGGAGAAACACGAAATGGTTGTCAAAAAGAATCCAACTGGTGCTGTCAAAAAGAATCCAACGATCTAGAGATGCTAAAAGTGATACTTTTCTCATACAATCCCCGTCGGCAGAGAAAGTATTGTGGTCAATGTGGAAAATATTGTCATTTCGGCATTTTTTTACTAATATTCTTCAACAAAAAACTTGCTCAAATACTTGGATGTAAACAATGTAACGAACGAACGAACCTGCACGAACTGCTGAAGGAAGAATGCAAACAAACTTTATAAGAGTCATGTGGGTAGGTGCATTCCCAACACCATGTACACGTTATTTCAAGAACAACATGTGAAAAGGGCATACAAGCTTTGTGTAAACAAACCTTCTTAGGCCCTTTTCTCGCCACCCATATGACAACAACGCAAACCAGCAACCTCACCGGGTAGGGAGAACTTTCCCCTTCCCGATGATGTTGTTGGTTTGTGTGGGCGACCCTCGGTTGACGAGAAAAGAGCTTACAAAGGTTTGTTTACAAAAAGCTTGTATGCCCTTTTCACATGTGGCTCTTGATTTATGGAGCAAAGGGTGAACTTTCGACAGCATGTATATGCAAATTGTGAGCAGTGCATTAGCAAAACAATTTGCGATATCGGAAAATTTTCAAGTTGTTTCCTGCTGACTTGCAAAACAAAAACGGCTGTGTTCGCAGTACCCAGCTTTTGAATTTTTAAAAAATGCATCGAAGCATAAACATTTGTGAATTTTTTTTTTCCTGTTTTAACCGCTGTAATTGAAAATATCTATTCCGACAATTTTGTCGGACTTCGATTGTCGACAATGACATTTCATGGGCGGAATCCCCTTTTCACGTTAGAAACGTCATTCCCTTTGCGGATGGCCAAACAAAAAATACCAAAAAACGAAGAGAAGAGGCTTAGTGGACGGCAGACGACAAAATCGTATCGCCTCCTCTACTGATCGCGACGTCGCCTTTTTCCTGTACGTGTATATTTTTTGCTTGCATTGAAAAACGAAAATAATGTTCAACATTAGATAAATGACGCGAAAGTGATTTATGTTACGATTGGATTTTTGTACGAGTGACGAAAAATATAACTGTTTTGTACTGACTAGTGTTTTGTTTAACCGATGTTGGTCTGCGCCCCATTTTGGAACTTCCCGTCAACATCTGAAGGGTATCCCTTGTGTGTGATAAATGTATAATGAAAACGCCAGAGAAGGGCTGATGCAAAAAAAAAACTGATTGGTATCAAAGCTAAGGCGTATGTAGTTTATCATTCGCTGCACAATTTGAGTGCATAGATAGATATCGGAACGAAAGCGAAAAAAATAACAAAACGTGCATAATGGAGAGGAAAAATGAAGAGTGCTCACTGAAACGAAAGTGAATCTGGCTAAGTGATTATGAAAACATTCCTCCTGGCTCTTCAAGGCTGTTGTGTTCGCAATTACTGGTGGTGGATTGGCTGTGGCAGTGTTTTGGACGGAGGTGGAGAAGCACTCTAGGGCGAGACGGCGTGAGTAGTGACTAGGTTCGCTCTTCTTGCAGAGTAGTCTAGCAAGAAATAAGAAAAAAAAACTGCGGCAAACACTACTATCATAAGTGAGTCCTAAATGTACGCAGTAAAACGTAGATTAAAGGTCATCGCTAGAGTCAGAAGCAATAACTGATACAAAGGTAAGGATCCAATCTGCTCCACTAAAGGAAACACTGTCTGATTCTATGACCATTGATTTGTCACTTTGTTGACGTTTCCGTTCCTGCTCGGTGTGTTGTTTTGTGCTAAATAAATAAATCGATTGTGTAGACGTAGTATAGATACTCACTCGATGCAGTGCCATTTTTGGAATCCTGCCCTAACAGAATTAAATGAGCAAATAGCGTTTGTCGGATTGAAACCCCTTTTCGAGAAATAGGAATCACATTCTAGGCACTCAATGACAATTGTTATCAACAAGCAACGATTACGGAAAAGTTAGAGCCGGAGCGCAATGGAAGTACACTCCCTGATTGAATAAAGTTCCATCATCTTGGTTGATAATGAATAAAGCAGGGTTGCATGATTCATAACAATTGTATTGACGGTGATAAGACGAACAAATCAGTTTAACCGATTACCGACAATAGAAAGAGTTCATTGTAGAGTAGAAGCATAAAGGGAGCCTCGACGGTTGATTGAAACATATTCACTTCCAAGGACACACGGGTGTTTGAACAAGAAAACCTGTCTATAGGTGTTTTGTTTTGCTTTGTTGTTTCATACTTATAATGTGGAATGCGCAATTTGATTGCTCATCAGGTGGATCAGTGACGGGGCTAATATATACGCATGGTAAAATTAATTAATTGATTTCTAACTTCCCATGACAATCGAACGACAGTGTATAATATGGACAACATAAGGAGATACCACTAAACGTTTGACGGTAGCGTTTTCCGTGAAAATTTTGAACCTGTAGTGTCATTTTTAATAATGTAATTGAGCAAGCGACATTCGGAGTAATACAGATCAATCAAAAATTTCGATCAAGGGTGCTGCCATGTTTTTTTTTTTTCTCAAGATTTCTGAAATCATTAGATGTTTTAAGGATATTTTGCACATGTAAGTTAGAGGAGCTTGTAAAGTTAGAGATGAACTAGCCTAAGGCTAAAAATCTCTTTAATAAAGAATTAAAAAAAAAAAGCTTGTAAAGTATGTGTTTAACACATGAAACATTTCTATTTCGTTTGTCACTTGTCATGTTACAATTTTATGATCGGTGAAAATGAAGAGTGAATATTCATCGATCATAAAATCGCTAATTGTGACCCTACTGAATGTGTAATTGACAGGTTTTATATGTCAAACACATACTTTACCACCACTTCTTGTAGCTTACAAGTTCAAAATACCATTGAATGGTTTCATAATTTCGAAAAACATTTTTTATAGCAAATAAATGACAGCAACCCTGATTACAATCTTCAAAAATTGTTATCTTCTAGTTAATTTTTGCATCGAAGTTGCTCCAAAGACCATAACTGGTCCATCTCACCAAAGAGTACCATTTATTTATTCACTCCGTCTTCGACTAAGTAGCACAGTTTTAGCACCTTACAACCAATCTAAACTAAGTTCCCTAACCCTATGACTAAACGCTGTTTTCGTTATTGTAAAAAGCACGAGTCAAGCGGATTGTTTATACCACAATTAGGCGCGGTACACAAATTACGAAATGCAAAAAATCCAGATTTTAGACACCCTCCCCCTATGCAAGAGGTCCAGCAAATTATTGTTTTTTTTTGTGTTTAAATTATTATTTGCATCGGTTAATATGTTACGTTACCCGGCCCATGTATGTTGTGAATGGGTGCGATATCCTACGCAGGTGTGGAAGCTGCCTTCCTGCACATTCGGTTGCCGTCAATGGATGGCAATCGATGTCCGTCGGTGATTGGCACTAGATTGCGGAACAGAGACCGACGTTAAACAAAGGAAAAAAAATATGTTACGTTAAGTTTTCCATTGCGCCCTCTCTCCTCCTCCATGCGTTACGTAATTTGTGCACGAAGTCTTAGTTCGATGGTAAGGAATTTCTAAAAGCGATAAGCTACGAAATCTTCGAAGAGGCATGTCTTGAAGGTCATCGTCAATATGCTTGCCACGCAATGCACGAATTCATGCCTCAATAAGAGAATTGTGAAATTACTATGTTAAGAGCAGATTATGTTATGTTGGATAGATTTCAGCTGATAAAATTTGAATGCACTGAGGACACAAGGTTGGCTGAATAGTTTAACATTGTCTGTGGTTTAACTGAAGATGTTTTTAGTTCTCATTTCAAATCGCCTGTCGTCCCAGAAACAAAGTACTTGTTTTCAAAACCAAGCGATAACATTGCTTGTAATTGCAATAATGTGCTCCTTATTTCTTCAGGCACTACCTAACCTATTAAATTTTACTATACCATTAACACGACTGACGTAGTTTACCACGCACTGACCTTCCCCTCCGACTATACGGTGGTGGCACATACGCAAGCAAAAAAAAAATTATAATACGCTGCCGATATTCTTGTTTTCATTACGTTACACGCAAAACGCTTGCCAGATGCTTCGGTCCACTTGCAAGACAGGCGTCTATAAACATATTATCAAGAGCGCCACTGACCGTTCAGTGATTGACGACGGTACAGGCGTACTCATATATGGACAGTGTAATTCGATGCATTGTGAGATGGTAGAATACGATGCAAACAAAGTGGACTTTTGTTTATTTGGAACCATGCCAAAAGCAAACGAAAGTAAATCAATTACAGACAGACGACCACGAAGAAATCGTTGCTGTCCCTGCTAATTCATATTGGTCGAATAATTTGGACTTTACTCAGTCTGTGTTCAAGATAAGTCGCTACATTTGTACAACAGCGACGGCGCCGGTGGTTGGTGGTAAGCGTGATTGCTTCTCATCACAAGTGCTAGGTCTTGGTTCAATTCCAGCAGAGGACATTGGGATTTACTGAGGAAAGTATGTGCTGATAGGTATGATAGGTAGTGGAACAGATACCGGCGGAAAATAAACATGAGAAAGGGCGGCCTTTCTATGAATTTAGTACTTACTAGACTGTACTTACAATAGCATGCAATTTGCTATTTAAATATGAAAATTATCAACTGTCGCATCACTGTTGTGACGACTGTACTAATCGATTCGGCTGATTGTTATTGGCGGCGACTAGCACGAGGGGAACGATGGTCTAGATAGCAGATATGTAACGTAACGTTTACTCAAACAAATTCATGAGTCACGAATCGTGATTCACCTTCCATTCCATACTTGCATCCATAAGAGCGGAAGAGTTGAAACAGGCTGGTTTTCAATTTCAATTAATGTATCTGTTTATGGGGAGTTACGCACAATACCGTTTTGTCGTAATGGGTACTTCTTTTGGTTCCACAATTCATCCCCTAAACACCCAGTGTAAATTATTAATTTAATACATGCACAGATTGCTAAGCTGGCATACATGCATCATGTGCTAGCATTTGTAGTGTACACGTATATCGGATGTAGCTACTTGTGTCTTGTTCATATGTATCTATCACCCGTCCGTCCGCCAGCTGAACATAGCGCAGCGGAAATGATTGGAAGGAAGGCAGAGGGGAAGAGTCTTCCACCGAACGTGGCTATTAATAATTGAAATCGGAGTTAAATAGTATTTGACTGGGTTAGATCCATCCCGTGTCGAATGTGTGGTCGTCCTTTAGCCCGTCTGTCTATTTCCTTACGAGAGGGGTAAATCGAGGGGTAAATAGGGCAATTTTGAATCTCATAAATTAGCGATTATTTGTGTAATTCTACAGAATCTACATCAGGATGGAAAAATTTGAGAGTAATGGAAAATTAACATTGATTTGCTTAACAACATCAAATCGTTCATGGCTATGTAAACAATCTTAAAATCAGTATAAATAATCTGACCTAATGTGGACCGTACACGATTGCTTTTATTGACAATAATCGTATTGTCAATACATTTTATATTGACGTCAATACATCGGTATTGACAATATTTCTGTATTCACATCATCAATATTATTGTCAATACTTGTAAGTATTGACAATATTTCTCACCGTGTGGGGTTCGCTTAAGAGCTGACATAGACAAAAAATTATTACCGTACATTTCATAATGTCGTGCATTTTTGAAAAATTCTAACAACTCTTTAATGAGGATATTTTGAATTAAGGTAGAACTTTTAAAAGGTATTATTGACTAGTGTATGGGAAAAATATAAATCTACAAAATATTACAATACTTTACAAATTATTGAGGAAAAAAGCGCGGAAATAGGCGACGCTTGAAATTATGGCACTTCACGGTAGTTTGTTTTAATTCACAATAATGGTTAATGTTTGATTAAATTAACAGTATACTGGTAATTGTTAAGTTTTTTTGCCTTCAAATGCAGCGTTTAAAAGTACGGATTTATTAACTATTGATATGGCACAACTAAATCATCCGTTCAGCTCGTTCCATTTATGTACTTTATGACCATTGTTGCTCATTTACACTTGTAAGTTAGATTTAACATGTTTTTCGATCGAAAGTCACAACAACTTGCAATTTTATCCATTCATTAAACGTTCTCTAATTGAAAGGGACTTTTTGAATATATATAAAACTTAAAAAATGTACAACTTTCCATAGTTAAACGTTGTTAAAGAAGAGTTTGAGACAGTGTTGGCAAAATCAGAAATCAATTGATATTTTTCCGCTCTCATGCGCTCGCAATATCATGCGTGATATTGGAACAAAATATCATGCTTGATATTGATTTTACGAGCTCCTTTGATATTGCGAGACTACTCACAGCGTGCAATAATCAAGCTGAGAGTTGACTCGACACAAAAATGATTCCATTGCACATCGTTTTCTTAGAAAGAGAAAGCATAGTTTGTTATCTCTTTTTAATCTTCACCGATGGCAGACGCAAAGGGACTGCTGCAAGCCGTTATGGAAGTTTCGGCTGCATTCGGGTGTAAAGCAAAAATCATTAAACTCAATCTCACCACAGTTTGGTGAGATTTGCAGTTGGTGAGTTTTGTTAGCTTGATATTCCGAGCTGCGATATTGGCGTCTTGCAGTGAAACTTTTCCAAGCTTTCGCCACCTACATTTCGAAGTGAGAACTACT